AAAGTTGCGCTAGGTCTTATTTTCAGGGGATGTCTTATCTTTCCATGCGCTATGTCTTATTTTCAGAGGATGTCTTATTTTCGGGGAAACACCCCCATATTACATTAATTACTGAATCTAAGACCGGAGTAGACAACTTAGTAGACAACCAAAATAAGCATAAGGAGAGATATCTTTGCTACCATCTTACTTTTCCTCATTTTATGCCTCCAGTTAGCTGGCATGATACTGACTGATTATCTAAGATCTGACATTTCCTAAGGCTATACCTGCCTTGTGAATTGGAGGCTACCGTGACAACAGACTCCCAAAGTGTTGTACATGTGTATATAGTGCCATCTGAAAGAGAAAAAGACCATGGATGCCACTATGTAAGAAATGTCTAACAACATTCACCAGCCTGAAAATATCAAAACAAATTAGTTTCAATTCTGGAATCTTGAATCTATCTTCTACACTAAAGGGAGATTTAAACACTGAAATGTTCCTGTCCAAGGTGACCATCTTGCTTTGGTAAAAGGAGCTATCAAACCATTAAATTGGCAGCATTTGGCCCAATAGTAGACTTTTAAATTTTTCTCTCTAGAAGAATTAGATCTATTTCTATTCTTTAGGAAGGTGCGATTGAGGTCTCTACTTGCATTATGTTCTTAATGTCCAACCAATGAAGAAAAAGTGCTAAGAATTCACATTAGAATTTATCTCTCTGCTCTAGATTAGCTTTATTAAGCCTAAAATGTCAAAACTATCCCCATAAACATTTAAAAAAATGTTTTTATTGATTTTGGGGGAGGAAGGAAAGGAGAGGACTAGAGAGATAGAAACATCAATGAGAGAGGAACATCATCAATTGGTTACCTCCTGCATGCCCCACACTGGGCATTGAGCCCCCAACCCAGGCATGTGCTCTGGTTGGGAACCAGATTGTTACTTCCTGGTTCACAGGTTGACGCTCAATCACTGAACCACGCCAGCTGGGCTCCCCAAAATCCTTCTTTAGGGAAAAAATGCTCAAGGTGAATAGACCACTCATAATTTTTTATTTTCAGAGGTATTATGTCATTTAATCTTTATAACAAGCCTATAATGCAATTATTATCCATATTTTACAAATGATCAATTTGTATAATTCATTTGTACAATTAAAAAAGCTTTTAAGATTGATGTTATGTGCTTCTCACAACAATTTAAAGAAGTACATAGCATTAAGAACCTTTTTAAAGTGTACAGTTTGGTAGTGTTAACCACATTCGCATATTGTACTTTTGTACGATTTGGAAAGATTACTGGCAGCAGGTCAAAAAATGTCTAGCCGAAACCGGTTTGGCTCAATGGATAGAGCGTCGGCCTATGGACTGAAAGATCCTAGGTTCGATTCCAGTCAAGGGCATGTACCTTGATTGCGGGCACATCCCCAGTAGGGGGTGTGCAAGAGGCAGCTGATCGATGATTCTCTCTCATCGATGTTTCTAACTCTCTATCCTTCTCCCTTCCTCTCTGTAAAAAATCAATAATATATATATTTTTAAAAATGTCTAGCCAGAGTTAAATATAATCTGATAGATTTGAAGACTCAAATTTTAGAACCTCATTAGAAATACATTATTTCTAATGACAAGGTTTCTGGAAAGGTTTTAGTTCATGAATGTGATAATCAGCTGAAAATTACTTTTTTTTTTTTTTTTTTTTTGCCTCCCTTCTCATTAGGCACATATATTTTACCCCTTTGCTTGTACTCATGACATAGACTTACTTGAGGTCTTGTGTTGAGGGCATAGATCTGGTCCATAGTATTATTGCATCTCCCAAATACATGAGAAAAAGACAGGTTCCAGACCTCTGACATCAACCTGCTCTAAAAGCTCCACAGAGGCACGGTTTAGAAACGAGCTATTAAATTTAAATTAGTAAGAGCTGAAGAAAAACTATGCATAAAATAAGAGTTCTTGCCAGGGTAGTAGACATAAAAGCAATAAGTCAGTAAGCATTAAAGCACAGGTTCACTTTAATCTGGCTTTGTGCCATTTATAGACACTAAAACCCAGGAAGAGCAGAGATCTTTTAGAACTTATATTTGCAAAACCCTTTGTTCTTTATTATTTAAAATATATATATATATATATATATTATTGATTTTTTTTTACAGAAAGGAAAAGAGAAGGATAGAGAGTTAGAAACATCGATGAGAGAGAATCATCGATCAGCTGCCTCTTGCACATCCCCTCTGGGAATGTGCCTGCAACCAAAGTACATGCCCTTGACCGGAATCAAACCCAGGACCTTTCAGTCCACAGGCCGATGCTCTATCCACTGAGCCAAACCGGTTTCGGCTGTTCTTTATTATTATTATTATTATTATTATTATTATGAAATGTATTTTTATTGATTTCAGAGATGAAGGGAGAGGGAGAAATAGAAACACCAATGATGAGAATCATTGATCAGCTGCCTCCTGCACGCCCCCTACTGGGGATCCAGCCTGCAACCCAGGCATGTGCCCTTAACCAGAAATCAAACTATATCCACTGAACCAAACCGGCTAGGGCTGTATCTATTATGTTCTGGTATTCTTTTCTTTTTCTCCCCCCCCCCCCCTCCCCTTCTTTATTTCCTCATAACCACCATGCTCTCTTAGGTGCTGAATCTGCTTAGGTATCTGTTTGAGTGGCCGTGATTGACATGCCGTAGCTGGTTTACCCAGAGAAAGGAATTGAGGGTTGAACTGGATGCAGTTTGGCTGCGGTTCAATAGAGGGAGCAGAGGAGCCGAGAAAAAAAAAGCCAGAGAACGTGTCTCGCTCAGTGTGCGCGCCCAAGCCCGGCCCTGGCCAGCCCTAGGAGGAGGGGCCGGAGGAGGGGTGGCTGCCTGCGCTGCTCCACCCTCACTTTGTGTCAGCAGGTAGAGAGCGTGATTGCAGTCTCAGGGGAGGGAGGCCGAGCTAGAACACCAATTACAAACCACAGGCTTCCTCCTCCAGGGAGTTGATCCAGAATTGTCTTTCTGGAAGAGAAGCACCCGAATAATCCTTCCGAACTTTCCAAATCCACCCATGATTCAGAGACATTGCCTTCTCCCTCTGGGATTCTCTGTGCTCCTGGGAGTGAAGGGTTGCTTTGCTTCCTTTCTCTTTCAAGACTTGATCATTTTATATGCTGTTCGGGGAGAAAAAGAACTTTTGTTAGAAAGGAGATTTCAGAAATGACTTTGGATCCTCTCTAAGTGTTTTTTTTTTTTGTTTTTTTTTTTTTTAAGAATTCTTGGGGACCAGTAGCTCTAACCCTGGAGTGAGTGTCTGCCTTTGACCTGCATGGATTATTTTTTCAGGTTGTGGAATTTCTCGGCACCTACCTGCAGTGTGGGGCGCTTGGTCTGGTTGCAGAGTAAGAAGGTGGAAGAATGAGCTGTGCTTGGTTAAACGGTTGAAATCTGTTTTGAGCGGGATCTATAAAAGCATAATTGAATTTGTTTCACCCCCGTGGATTCCAGTGGGCCCGACAGCGCAACAGGTTTGCAGATTTCTTTTGAAATTCTTTTTTTCCACTCCCCTTCCCCCTCTGCCTCAGCAAAAGAATCTGTATAACAGGTTCATGTTCAATTGCTTGGCTCTTCAGCACTTATTCTGAAGACTTTCTACGATTTTAAAAATTTGACCCCTGAACACAGTGGGCTTTGTGGTTGGAGTGCGCTTATATTTACTTAAAGGTGCACATTTTTTAAACTCTTAGAATAAGATTTTGTTTGTACGAAGACCCTAATTCTAAAGCGTGCCTAGAGATTGCCCGATCCACCCTGCTCAGGCTTTTTACGTTTCCAGGGCATTTTACTTAGAGCCTGTAGTCCAATCACCTCCTTACTCCCCCTACCTTTTACACCCCACCTCCTCAAGGAATTTAAAAACGTGTTAGGAATAGTCCTTTGTTTTACTGATGAACCTAGAAAATTACAGATTAGAAAATCGGGATAATAAAGTCGTTTCCAAAAGCATCTCATGGGAAATCAAAGTGCTTGGCATTCTCAAGCGGGAGAATACAAGCTGGAATCCCTGAGAGAGAGAGAAAAGTAAAGATAGAAATACAGTTTTTAACTGGGAAAAAATAATTGGAAAGCTAACCTTTCCGAATACTCTTCTCGTCTGGAAGTTGGAAACGGTTGTGAAGCTCAGGACTATCCTGTATATGTGAAGACGTACAAATTACCACCCATGTTTACAGGCAAATTCGGTAGAACATTTGAAAGTTATAGCATATTTTAAGTTCATGAAAAATATTCTAAATTTAACGGGGCCTAGAACTTTGGCCACGTTGAATTACAGCTCAGCGTGTAAACTTTTATGAATAATACATGCTGTAGCATCTTTGGCTGTCTCTCCAGATGTGGCCTGAAATGGTCTCTCTCCTTTCCTGTTTAAAAATTTTTAAAAAATAAAAATTCTCTGTGATCGGTAGCCTTTTTACCACTGACAAATTATGTCCCTTAGAAAGTGCCATGTCTTCGTTTTCTAAGCTTGGAGATTTTCACTCTCACCTTTAATGCATGGCCTTAGTTGTTTACTTTGCCTTGTTTTGTTCATTAACATTGGGTTTAGTGGCTCTACAACGTGATGCATATGGAAGACCAGCACCAAAAGATCTGACATAAAAAATATATATATATATATACATATATATATATATATTCAGGATGTGACAATCGGTCTCAAGCAAAGTTGGAAATTCCACAGAGAAGTGGCGATACCTTACTAATAATAGTGAAGATGGGAGAAAAGGACATGCCTGAAGCAGAAGTGGGCTGAGAGCACCCTCTTCCCCGCCAGATCAGGAAGGCCACCTGCTCTTGGGAATATACTTTAGGAAAAGGAAGGGCCGGAACGATGACTTGGGTTTCTGAAGCCGAAGCATAAATCCTCTCGTCCTTCGTTTGCCTGGATCTGAGAACCTGCGTCTGGTGTGAGCTGGTGGGAGCAGTATGTATGGCCGAAGTGCATTGCTGCAGCTGGTAGCATGAGTGGTGGCCACCGGCTGCAGCTGGCTGCCCTCTGGCCCTGGCTGCTGATGGCTACCCTGCAGGCAGGCTTCGGACGCACAGGACTGGTTCTGGCCGCGGCGGTGGAGTCTGAGAGATCAGCGGAGCAGAAAGCTATTATCAGAGTGATCCCCTTGAAAATGGACCCCACAGGAAAACTGAATCTCACGTTGGAAGGTGTGTTTGCCGGCGTTGCTGAAGTAACTCCAGCAGAAGGAAAACTAATGCAGGTAAGGATACCTTCCTTCTATGTCACTTTCCATCTGTTTGGAATATACCTTTCTTTCTTTTGTCTCCCAAACCCAATCCTTTTCAGGGGGCTTCTGTGGCTTAGCTTTTGATGTGTCCCATCTTTCAGTGATGTTGCCTCATTGGCATTCTAAAGCAAATTCTTATTTTATACTCAAGAAGAAACCCATAAATCCTACATTTTAGAAGATCATGGGCTATTTTTAGCTCTGCTATTACAGGGCCTTTTAAGATGCACAATAAGACCTTTCTTTGCAAGTGTTACATTCTGGACACAATTTTTTGATAGATGAAATAAATGGGCGTGTATTTCATTAAGGATGGTACTAAAGTATCCTGTTTGATTTTGAAGTGAGCACGAAGAAGGTTGATTTTAATGGTCAGCAGCACCCTGAAGCATATTTGATCACCGTGTCACTTTTAAAATCCAGTCAAGCTTGAATGCTATGGCTGGCTTCCTACCACGTGTGGCACCCTATTGCTAAGCCCAAAATGGAGAGGACTGGATTACAAAATGGACACAAGGGGTCAACTTGCCTTCTGGTCACTTTGGTCTTATCTCCCTGTAGTTTTATTATTTTCAAAATTTAAAAATTTAATATGTTTTTTTATGGACCCACAAAGTTTTTTGGACACAGCTTCCCAGGCTTTCAGGCTGTGAATTTTGCCTATAACTCATTCATAGACAAAAATAACTCTTTCTGTGTTGAATTTATGAACGGACGGGGGCCATAACATTTCACAGGGGAATTGCTCATTCCCCAGGTGAAGACAGAGCCCAGAGGGCTGTCCCTTTTTAATGCGGCTGTCCAGTGTCTTATTCCATAAAGTGATGTTGTTTATTGGTTAAATTTTATTTGTCTCTTGCTGGAGGTCTTGGATACAGGTTACAATGTGGTTAAATATGATTTTTCGCAGGACCCACGCTCAGATTTTTATTTTGTGATATGAACAGAACCCAAGTATTACAGGAATTTAAATTCTGGTCTTTTTGGAGAGAGAAGGTGAGAAAACCTAATAAATTATAGCGCTCTCTTTTCCAAACATGGGATTCTACATATATGAGTTAGTGGTTTTTCGTGACTTAGCTGGGATAAGTGAAGTGGAAGAATAATTGGGTGAAATGGACAGCCCTGCTATTTAGAAAAATAAACAGGGGAAGAGAATGTATCTGGAAAAATGGCATAATAATTTTTGGATAAGCGTATAGTCATTTAATTTGAACTCTAGGATGGAATTAGGCACATTTTAAAGTTGAAACATAATTTTGAATACAACGATTGGAACAATTGGAAAGAAAACTTCCTTTCTGACTTGCCTAGTTAATACTCTGAATCATGAGGTGTGTGCCCCATTTTAACTTTTTACCCTAAGCTTTTTTAAGTTGTAGAACCATATTTTGATCTCTGAGGTGTCTGGGAGACGTACGAACGTCTGTGCCTTATTAATGTCCTGTGGCAGCAGCATGTGTAGTAGGTTAATTGTATATTGCATAAAATAGTGTCCTTTTTATTTTAAACTTTTGTCTTCTTTCATAAAGCTCTCCATAAAGTTTCTGTGTATTCACAAATAAAAAATTATATAAGAGGCACTAGCTGGCCTTCTCTTTGCCATTCATTATTTTGTCAATATTTGCTAATTTTTTCCAACTGTTCATGTTGAGCCTATTAGTATACACTTAAGTATAGTTTCTTCATTTTGTGAAGAGGGAAGTTCATTGTGTCAGTTATTTAGCAAGGTCTTTCAGGCATTACAGTAGATGGTTTGCATCATTGGCAATTTTCTGTCTTTCTTTATCTTTTCTGTCACGTAAGCTTCTTCTAGGCCATTAATACATTTGCAACCTAGCCTAGTGTTAATCTCTGGAGACTTGCAGTATAGCTTCTGGTTTATTGTCTATTAATCAATTTTAATCCACAATATTTACTAAATTTTCTGAATAGTCGCTTATGAAAACACAAAAACAACCTTTTGAATGATAAGCGTCAGTTGTTCTTTATCCACTATTTGGTGAATTCTCTCAGAATTGGCAACACATGGTTTTACACCTCTAGGATCCACGCTGTTCCTTCCTTATTAGATTACACTGCAACTCAAGATCACTCAGCTGTGGTTAACCAAGCTCCCATTTAGCTGGGGTTCCCTTCGGATGTCCTGAAGGTGTGCTTTGCTGCACGTTAGCTTTCTTGGTGGATAGCTGTATCCTGGTGTCATAAATCCAAAGGAGTCTTCTCTGTTGGCTTTGAGGAGTTTGGGATAATTCTATGTATCCTCCTACCTATGAATGAATTATTCTAGCTGAACCATAGAATTTCCTCTGAAATAATTTTGCTTGTCTCAACTTCAACTGAGGCTGTATATACAAGGACATTGAAGGCCAGGCCTTGGTAAATTTTTGTTCTGATCTTTTGTGCTTGGGCTTCTTTTTGCCAACAGTGATATCCAAGACATGTATAAAGTTTTAAATTGTAATATTCTTGTTGGGACACTAGAAGGAAGTCAACATGGAAAAGGAAATGTTGCCTTTGCTATTTTCTTCCATTTCATAACTCCTCATCTTAGCCCTGATCAAATTAATTTTCTTTCTTTTTCTGCCCAAGAGCTGCTTCTTTGCAATAGGGTATCATTTCACATCTCTGTGTGTTTGCCGTTGTCTATAAAGTGTCTACTTCTTATGTTGGCCCTGCATTTGCCACGATCATTGTCTCTTCCTTCCTTCTGGTTTCTTTCTACTTTTCTGTCTGTATTTCCACTTTATTTTTTATATTTTATTGATTTTTTACAGAGAGGAAGGGAGAGAGATAGAGAGTTAGAAATGTCGATGAGAGAGAAACATCGACCAGCCGCCTCCTGCACCCCCCCAACTGGGGATGTGCCCGCAACCAAGGCACATGCCCTTGACCGGAATTGAACCTGGGACCCTTCAGTCCACAGACCAACGCTCTATCCACTGAGCCAAACCGGTTTTGGCTCCACTTTATTTTTATATTTAGGATAACCTTCCACTGCTATTCTAGTCAGTATTTTTCTAACTATCCACCACCAATCCATGTCAAAAAATATTTATAACTGTGTAGTGATGGATGTTAACTAAACTTATTGTGGGAGTTATTTCACAATGTCATATCTATAGCAAATCATGTTGTACACCTAAAACTAATATAGAGTTATATGTCAATTATATCTCAATTAAAAAAGAGAGACCCCAAAAAATCAATTTTAAGAAGACTTTTCAGATTTCCTAATTACTTGGCAGTGACTGATAAAGAAGACTAAATAACAGTGGTTATTACTTCTTACAGTTTTTATTTTTTCATTTGAATATATTCTTCTTCTCCTGGTTTGTACCATTATAGATGGGAAATATGCTGGAGCTTATGCATTGTCTAATTATGCAGTTTTTTAGTTTGTTTACCTCTTTTCAAGGCTTGTTTGTGTTTTTTCTAGTAATATGGTTGCTACCACTTGTAAAAACTATTATAGTTCTATCCTCTCATTTTAGTTTTTTAGTTATAAATGTTATTAATTAGAGGGACAACTCAAAATTTATCTTTCGCTGGGGTGTACACCCGGAACTAATAGAATAACGTATGTTAACTGTAATTGGGAAATAAAAATACGATTAAAAAAAAGAAGAAGCAAAAGTGCTAGAGGATCTTATTGTAGCCTAGAGAGGTCACCAGTTCAGCTGTCACACTCTTCCTGCTCAGCTGGTTGTCTTGGATTTTCTTTGACTCTGAATCAAGTGATGATCAAGATTAGACTGTCCTGCCCTGAGGCACTACGATGGGAGGCGCGGTGTTTGGCATCTGGGCAGCCTCAGTGAGCATCTCCCGGACAAGCTCCCCCTGGCACGATGTCTCTGCTTGGCCCCTTCATTTACCTCGGAGTCAGCACCTACTTATCCCAACTTTGCATTTTTTACTTTATTTGTAGTTGGGCTCTGAAGTGAATTCTTTGAGGAGGGAGAGAAAACTTGATTATTGGAAAATTCTGGACAGAACCAGAGAGAGAATGCTATCCTGCAAAACTGCAGTTGACAAAGTGACTAAACTGTGACTCAAGGGACTGCCTTTCAGTTCTGACGCTGCCACTGAGGAGCTGGGTGATGTGGGACAAAATGGTTTTCACCTTTCGAGGCTTCAGGTTCTGTGTCGGGAAGATGGAGGGATTGCAATAGAACAGTGTGTAACAAACCTGTGCTCTGAACCTTACAAGTATCAGCTTGTTTATTCTTCATAATAACTTCATGCAGTACTTTGTTTTTCACACTTTACCGATAAGGAAACCGAGGCCCAAATTGTTAGTACCTGCCAAGGTCATGGCCATAGTTAGTAGGTGGCATAGTTGGAACTTGAAGCCCAGAGCAGGTGCTTTTCCAGTGCTAAGACTCTATACATCTAAGAATGCCATAGATGAGCAGAACACCAGGGTAGGCTTTACAAAAATGATTAATTCCTTTCTTCAATAGAAAGGAATGAAAATGATGAATGTTATTCTCTGAGATTGATTCAGAAAATGTAATAGCCTAACTTCTAATAACCTCTGTATTTCTTCTATTCTCTCATTTGTGTTTTTATCTGCAAAGGTATATGTAAGGCAGAATGTTTACTTACGTGGTATCTCTGTTTTAATTTAACAACTTTCATTGTCCTTCTCTTCATTTTATAACAGTCTATAATAAAATATGTAGTATAGGAACCTGATATAATAAACTTTGAAACAGCATGTGTTTAACTGTCATTATTCCAGTGAGAGTTCCTTGGAAACAAAGATCTCAAAGGTTTTGTGATTTTGCTTTGAGGCCAGCCTTTAAAAGAAGTATTCATATTCAAGGTACAGTCAACTCTCAGTTATTTATGTTAATGGAGGTGCAGATAAACCACTTGATTTATAATTGACTTTGGAACATAGTCAGAAGTACACCAACAGACGTAATTCCTCTGTGTGCACAAACAATCGTGGGCACTTGCCTTCTGCA